TTGTATGCTACAAAGGAACTATGTATGTTCAAAATGCTACAAGAAAAACACCACCAACTAAAAACACTGCATCCAGCTAAAGTGTCCACAAAGACTGAGGAGACAGAGAGCCTTCCAGGAATGACTGGAAGGCGTTTATCACCAGACCTGCCCTTTAAGAACTGCTGAAAGAGACCTTCAAATTGAAATGAAAGGGTGATAAATGGAGAAAGAAAAACATAATAAAATTTACAGATCACTTTGAACTCCAGCAGAGAATCTTCCTAAAAGCATAAAAAGGATTCTACATCTTTAATAAGGGATGTACAATACAGAAAGAGATCATTTGTGTTATGAATAACGTAAGGGGGTATGTGAGACAGAAATGTAATGGTGTAGACTTTTTATATGTGATTAATTCAAACTTTTTCATTTAAAATTATGTGAAAGTGACAACGTGCTCTATATAATGAAATAACCACAAAGGTGGCTATATAACATACAGAAGGAAAAAATGACAAGACAATGAAAAGTAGCCATTTCACAAAACCAAGGAAACACAAAGAAGACAGCAAAAATATGACAGATGCAATCAAAGCAAAAGACATACAACAGTTAAAAAAAAAAACAACAGTAAGTCCTTTTGTATGACTAATTAGATATAAACACCCTAATTAAAAGAAAAAGACTGGCTGAAAGAAGAAACACGTAAAATATAACTATATTCTAAACAACAGTTTTAGTTTATTTCTGAAGGCACACACAGGCTAAAAAGGGAAAGACTCAAAGATACTCCATGCAACCCGAAACCTACAGAGCGCAGAGGTAGCTACTCTTATATTTTTAAAACACAGCTTTTAAAAACTGTTACAAGTGATCAAAGGATAAAAGACGACTTTCCATAATTACTAAAGGGGCAGCTCCCCAGGACATATGATAATTACAAGCATAAAACCAACATCAGTCCTCTCCAATATATGAAGCAAATGCTGAGAGATTTAGCACAATAACTGGGGGACACTCTATGCTTCATATCACTTATGGAAAAAATAACCAGCGGACCAAGAAATATACAGAGGGCTTCAACAACAGTACATAGCATATGTACCTCACAGACCTGTAGAGAATATTCTACCCAACAACAGCAGAAACTCCTACCTCTAACACACACAGGGAACATCTACACAACAGATAAGAGGTATCAAAAACTTTGGTATCATTCAATTTTTTTTCTCTATTCCAAATGGAATAAATGTATCATAATCAGAGTGAATAAGGCAAGCAAAAGTTAAAAAACATCCAGAGACAAAGACAGAAAAGCACAGTGCATCAAAGCTCATGGATGCAATCAAAGCAGTAAAGGGAAAGGGTCTGGCAATAAAAGCTTCTGTTCAAAAATAAAAATTAACTCAAACACAACCTAACTTTGCATTTCAGCAAAAAAGCACAAACCAAAAACAATAGACACAAAAAAAGGAAATAATGAACACTGCAGCAGAAATAAATGAAAGCACAGAATCTAAAGAAACTTTTTACAAATATCAACAAAAATGGCAAATGCTTAGACAGAAAAACTTTGAAAAAAGACCCAAATATATATAAGCAGGTATATTTCAACTCATATCATGGAAGAAAAGAGAAAAATAAGTAGCTATAATCATGTAACAGGCTAATCACTGAATGAGATAACCTGGAAGAAAAGGATAAATCATTAGCAATATACAAATTCCCTTGATGAAATCAGGGAGATTTTTAAACATCTGAACATATATATATAAGTAGTAAGGGAAATGAAGCAATAACCAATAACCTCCCCGCAAAGACACAAGGACAGAGGGCTTCGTCACTCCATTCTGCCCTACACTTAAATTAGGGCTAACATCAATTCTCCTCAAATTCTTCTAATAACCTGAAGAAAAGGAAACATTAAAAGCATTCTAAACTAGGCACTGGGTCACACTCCTGTAATCCCAATACTCAGAAGGCTGAGGCAGGAGAAGTACAAGTTAAGTTCAAAACCAGCCCAAGTCATTTATCTCGAAAACTTTAAAAAGGTCTGGGGAATATAACAGTGCAGAGTACTTGACCAGCAGGTTTGAGGCCCCACACTTAAGAACAAATCATTCTGTGAGACCATCACTATTCTGATACCAACACAGGAAAAAAGGCCAGTGATAGCAAACATCTAAGAGCTTTCAATAACAAACAGCCTGCTGTAGCATGTGCCACAGCTTTGCCAGCACTGGACAGAACAGTAGCCCTGAAGAATATTGAAAAATTCTTCAAAGCAGTAACTAGCGAACCAGAATTTACAGTCTATTCAGAGGAGACAAACCCTGACAGGCAGGATTCGATTTTAGAAGACAAAGCTAGACCAACTGAAAAAAGTCAGTCCCTGCAATGCACAACACTGACATAGAGGAAGCTAAAAGGTGGATTCCCTCATCGTGTTCATCGGTTCAGAAAATGTGCTAGACAAATGTGCTAGTCGTGGCAAAAACACACAAATTACACACAAAAAGGGAAGGATATTGGAGATGGTAAGGGCTTCTTGTATATGACACAAAAATACAAGTGAGAAAGGCAAAACCAGACCAATGCAACTATATCTGATTGGAAAAAGGAACTGAAGAATTTTATTGAGTGAAAAAGGTGAAAAGAAAACTAACAGAAATTTGAAAAGAAAAAATAGAGTGTTCTCATAAACTACATATAAATCTTGTATGATATATATTATCTTCTGCTTTTACTTTAAACCCAGGGGCTGGTGATGTAGCTCAGTCACTGTTTGCCTACCACGCATAAGGCCCTGACTTTGATCTCTAGCCAGCATTGAAATAAAGTAAAATAACATCCAATAAATAAATAAAATGAACGAAAAGCATGTGCACAAACATGCAAATGAAAGAGATATAAACAAATGATTAAACAATGAAACATTAGATGCAGCCAGGTATGGTGGTACCTACCTGCAATCTCAGGGCTTTGGGAGGCTGAGACCTCTCAAAGTTTAGGTTCAGCCTGAATAATTCAATGACTTAGCAAGAATCTCGGTCGTAAAAAGATTTTTAAATTAAATTTAAACATGAAAAAATAAACAGTAAAACACAAAATCTAAGAGAAATATAGTACTTCATAATCTTGTACTAAGAGAAATTCTACATGAAGAAGCAAGCTAACAGCCAGGCACAGTAGACCATATTTACAATCTCAGCTACTTGAAGACTGAGATAAAACGGTTACAAGTTAGGGTGTGAGGAACTCACACCCTGTCTCCACCACTGAGCATACAGGTTAGTGCAATGGCCCGGGTTCAATATCTAGTACTGCAGAAAAAAAAAAAGTAAAGTAGAACATAAAAAAATAAAACTTCAGAACAGATAATACTGGCACACACTTATAATAATCCCAGCACTCTGGGAAACTGAGGCAGGAGAATTCCAATTGTGATCCTAGCTTGAGCAACTTGGTGAGACCCTGTCTCAAAATTCAGAAAAATAAAAAAAAAAAGGGACAAGAGGGAGCCACTTAGTATGAAGGCCTTGGGTCCAATCCCCAGTGGAGACAAAAAAAAAAAAAAAAAAAAAAGAGGGAGGGAACAAGAAGGTATATGTAAGTAAGTATATACTACAGATTATAAATAGGTCCTAAACTACAAATTCTCTTTTTATATACATATCCACAAACCATGAAACCTACTTGGAATCACAAGGAACTGGCATACAAACAGTCTGGTTTTTCTCCAGGCTGTAAAACATAAAGGACCTTAGTGACAAGTTTTACTTGATAAGGAATGATTATCCATAGGAGAGAGCATCTTTGCAAGGGGCGGAAAAGAATGACCTTCATAGAACTAATAAAACACGAAATCACCCTAAGAGAAACTGCCCTTTCCAAAAGGAACTCTCTGCAGAGGTCAGAGATGCCTGTGAACTGCTGAGTTCATAGGCAGTTCACTTCTCTTTGTAGTAGAGAAAAGGTAAGAAACACAGGTCTTCATTCCCAGAATACTTCAAGAAGAATGCAAAAGCGTCCTAAGTGGTCTCTGTTCCTCCTCATTTACTGAAGAATCTTCTCTAAAGCCTTACAGTGATACGCAAACACACTTATCCCACACACGATCAGACTTCTGCCACAGACCACAAAACTGACAGCAGTGGCCTCCTGCTCACATGTGACAGAGGGAGAAGATGAGGAAAGGACAAGCTTTACACCTTGGTGCCCAAGACTGGTGACGGTCTATGGCTTCACTGTAAGAGAAACGTACATATCACGTGTTGCTATGTTTCTTGTTGAGTATTTAATACTAACTGCTGAGTTGAGACTATAGTTCCATCCCCTCTGATGCCAAAAAAGTTCTGCTATGATGTCGAAGTGAAAATATGATCATTTTCCCCCTAAATACTTGTTGCTTAAGAGCCCTGCAAGGACATCACTGTCTCCCACAGATGAAAGTGGTGAAAACAGTTTAAAGAGTGCCTGGCTGTTAGACACAGAGGCAGTCACATATTTAAAACTGGCAGAGTTAAACATCCCTCATTGTTGTGTCTAACTTTCCATTCCGTTTCCAATCACTGAGATTTCAGTCAGAAACACTGACTAACTTGATTACGTGTAAATGTAGTATATAGTGTCAGGCAGAACACATTTCTCCCATACGTCTCCTTTTTCAGAGCTTAGAAGAATTTGTTTATATTAATAAGTGACTTCCATGAACAGCTTCTACATCCAGATGTGCCCTAAACAATCCTGCTGCCCACAAAACTGACATATGGGGTCCACATCTGTCTCTAGTCCCTGCCTGGCAGGAAGCCCTACCCAGGACCATGATTAATACAGCCTCCTCACATGATACCTGTCACTGGTTACCATGAGTCCTAGGGAATGTGAGGAGGGCCCAGGGCAGCCCAGGGGAGACTCAGAGAGTATGCCAGGTGACAGAATCCGAAGATGCAGTGCCCATGCAAATCACTTCAGGAAGGAAGGCAATGTGGAACACGCAAATAACAACATCACTTTACCCAAGTAAGAGCCATGTCCGACTCCTTTTCTTCCTGCCTCCTCCTCTTCCCAGCTCCTTCGGCAGATAACATGAGTTTTGGGGAGTGAAACCTGAATGTTGAAAACACATTGGTGAATACTCAGAACAGACACACGTTCTTCCTATATCATAGCCCACACACAAGGAGTACCAGCCATGAGGAAAGACCGTTTTCTGCTGCCCACCGCACAGGGAGGGGCCAAGAGGGACAGGTTGGGGCTGGGGACCAAAGAGGCAGGAACAGACTCCTAAAGGAAGACCAACAGAAGACTTCCTGACACTTCTTCAGAGCTCTCTCTCTCCCTGGGGCTTTATGAGGGAACACACCAAGGCCTATCTAGAGCCAAACACAGCACACTCCCTTCACTCCACCATGGATCACAAGCTGATCTTGGCCTTGATAAACACAGGACAGTCTAGGTGCCCAAGGCTGTGCACCAAATACAATCAACTTTAATAATATGAAGACTGGGTCTCAGGCTGATGATGGGAAAGGGAGAATTAGCTACAAAACACCTCAGCCTGCCAATAGGAAGCCAGAGTTGAACAAGCCCAGCCCCCCTCCCACCTTCTGACTCAGCTCTCCCTTTGCAATCCTGTGGTCCCCAGAATCCACACTGTGGACTGGGGAGATCAGAAATTGCAGAGCAGGCAACACAGACCAGAGGAGGAGATAGGGTTAGGGTTAGGATGTTAGTGAAAGCCACAGAATTCTCCATGGAATCACTGATATCAGACCACAGACCTGGGAAAGTGTTTATCACCTGCAGGTGAGGGGCCAATAAGTTCAGGCAGAGACAGAACCAAGGGAAAGCCCTGAGGCAGGCACTATAGCAGTAGCAGGAAAAGGCAGGAGGCCTGTGTGGCGAGACCAGAGTGGGCAGAAGGATACTGCAGGAGATGACCACAGGAGGACTTTCAGAAGCAGATTAAAATGGGCCAAAACTGTCAAAATTTTTCTGTCCCTCAAAGGAATTTTAAAACAAGATTCCTTGCCTGATACAAGGAAATACGTAATTTTTCTTTATTTTATAAATGAAACAATCTTTTATCTTCTGTATTATAAATAGTACGGGCAGAGGGATGGACATGTAGGTCAGTGATAGAGCACTTGCCTAGTATGCATGAGGCTGTGGGTTCAATGCCTACACCACGTAACAAAAACAATGGAATTCAATAATTAACTAACTAACTGATTTAAATAAATATAGGCAGAGATACTGAGCTAAACTCAAGGCAGTACAAAGTCATCCAAACTGTGACACTGAGGATTGCAAAGGGTCTATGTACCTATTCAAATGCATCCTTTTAACAACAGGCAAATGTCAGTGATGTTTTCCTGAACGCTGGGAAACAATCTGACAAACGAACCTGAGCAGCTGAGTCAGGAGAATCCCTTATTTATAGCCAGTGGATGGCAGTTTACCTGCAAATCTGAAGTGAGGGCAATGTGGGTCTAAGGCCTCACCCTGTGGGATCAGACGCCATTTCCAGGGAGTGAGTGCCAGATCTAAATTAATTTACAGAACACCACGTTGGGGTCTCAGGGACAAGTGCCTCCTCAATCATCACAAATCCTAACACAATTTCTTTTTCTTTCCTAACACAATTTCTTGACTAGAAGTGAAGACTGTGCTGTGGTCACTATCAAGCGTGACTAGGAAAACCACTCTTGGTTTCCTTTATCCCACACACTTCCCAAACCACAATCCATTCCAGGAAAACAGGGTAACCCACAGGTAAAATGAGTCAGAACTCCACCTTCACATTGAGTAGTGACCACAAAGGGAAAGGGTATCCTCTAGGACCCAAAATTGCACAATACACAGAGCTTATAGGCAGAATCACAAGTCTTACCCTTGTTCATATGATTTAAATAAATTTTAAATCCATTGAATTATCAACACAGAAATCAATACAGCACAATTTAAGGATGCATACCTAATTGACCATCCTGGGCTAGACACAGGGTCCACTCCTCCCGGCTTTTCTCCCTTCCTGTTTTTCTCTGTCACTCTGTACAGTCTCACTGTAACCTCTCTCCAGCTCTTTTCTCTTCCCTCCACCACCATTTATGGCCACTGTTTCTCACTCTCCATTGATTTCCTCCCTAAGTTCCTGCCCCTATACCTATTCTGCCTCATTCTTGTACTGGGTTCACCTCTGGGTCCCTGTCAACTTAGTCGTTTGATTATCCCCAATTTTCACCTATTTCTGCCTCTTTCTTCCCCCATGGATGCTCTTCCTCCCCCTGCCTGGTGCAGCCCCTGGGTCCTGCTCTCTGAACCTCACAGTCCTAGGCGTCCTTCCTTTGCTCCCCTTGTCACCCGCCACCTTCTCCTCTTGTCCCAACACCACGCTGCTGTTTGCCAAGGGCTCTCTTCCTATTTCACTATTTTTCATTTCTCTGGAGACACAGATCTTTAAATGTCTCTATTTGTTTTTCTCCTCTGCTACCATCTTAGCTGCTTCTTTCATTCTCATCACTTCTGCCAATTCCTCACCCATCCACTACTTTGCCATGTTTACAGGTCTATCTCTCCCACCCCTCACTGGGAGGGCATGGATGAGAAGCCGCCTCTGGAGGAGCATAGCTAACCCTGGGACACAAGAATCCTGAACTCACAGGCCAGGTCCAGGTCACCTCCCCTGGCCTGGCGGGGAGGTTAGAGGGGGAGGCCTGGGAGGCAACCCGGCCCGGGAGGCGCGGACGAGCCCGGGTTCCCCCGTGGTGAGGACGCCGCCGGCCGCGGAGAGGGCAGCAGGCGAGGCGGTCGAGGGTGGAGGCGTCAGCGGCCCGGGTTGGACTGGCAGGACCGGCCTCAAGCGCCTCCGCCCCGCAGGGCCAAGCGACCTTCACAGCGCCGTCCGAATTTACTGGGGCGCAGGGGGCGGGGCAGGGCCTTGACGTTCCCCAGACACTCACAACCTGACAAGGAGGCGCTGGGGACAGCGGAGCGCAGACAACCTAAAGAGAGGGAAACTCACACCGGCCGCTGCGACCTTCACTTCACCGATGCACTTCCGGATCTGAAGGAAACCGCGCACAGCAGGGAAGGCGAGGGGGCGGGGCCCTGCCAGGATGTGAGTGGGCGGGATAGGGGCGGGGACAGGGGCGGGGACAGGGGCGGGCAGGGAGGAAAGTGTGAAAGGATTGTCCCGGCGGACGATTGGGAGCGGGGCTACGCGGCAGCAAGAACCGAGATGGGCGGGGCTGGGGGCGGAAGCCACATCTCAGTTGCCTGGTCCTTGGGCGTCCCCAGGTAATGCTGTGACAACAACTTGATCTGGAAACCAAGATAGCGTGGGACTGGGGCCATCAATGTAGGATGATAATTATACCTATGAAAGTTCCTACTATTAAAGTGAATTTCAGCCCTTCAATAAATATCTCGCTATTGCTTTTGAAGGAGATGCAAACTAGACCGCGAAATGCAGACCAGTCTCTGCTGAAGGTGCACATTCATGCTGATGTCCAAGAACACAGAACAAGCATTCTTCCCGTTTCTATTCACTTTCTCTTTGAGGGAGGACGGCTGGAGTGTTGGCATGAGGGCACCAGGGGTTCTGATAAAGATAGGTCACCGACAGTTGCTTTAAGAAAATAGGAGAGAAGTTATATTTAAATTTAAAAGTAGATTTTTTTTTTTTGAGGCAAGGTCTCACTAAATCACTAAATTGCCAGGCTGAGCGTAAACTTCGCACCCTGTCAGAGTGCTGGGATTACAGTTATAAGTCAAAATGCCCCATTTGGATGTATTTTTCTGTAAAGAATATCTTGAGATATTTCTAAAGATATATGGCAAGCACATTGTTCTCTTTTATGTGAACTCGGAAAACAGTAAAACCATGTTATCATTTTAAATAGCCATTTCTACTGCCATAAACTTTATGGCAATAAATGAGGGAACATCTATTGTGAAATCTGTTTTTCTCACACCTTTATTTGTGAAGAAGTTTCATTCATTGGGAATGGTAACCAGTTAAAACATGATAATGTTTAGATAGGAAATTGGCACCTATAAAATATTTTTAGTTTAAAATAAGCAGAAGGACTTGGGATTTAGCTCAGCGGCATAAACACCTGCCTGGAAGTGTGAAGTTGTGAATTTGATCCGCAGTACCAAAAATAAAATAAGCAGAGCATCCAGCAGGTCATGTAGATGAATACAAGAATCTATCTCAGCATAACTTTCTTTTCCTCCTTGCTCCCTTTTGTCCTGCCTTCTTTCCTTCTCCTTCCCCTTTCATTTTTCTTCCTTCTTTCCTTTGCAGTGGTGCTGGGGATCAAACTCAGGACATTAGGCCTGGCAGCAAATGCTTTGCCCCTGAGCTGTGAGCCCAGTCTTATCAGCATGTACTTCTGTGATCCCAAGTTGAGGAGGAATCAACTGGGCCGCTTTCAATACAGTAGATAAAAGGTAATTCTAGTTAAGATCCACGGATCTAGTCTGTGTATGGGGACTTTTTTGCTTCTAAACTTTTCAATGGAGAGACACATATATAGTCACAAGAAATGAAAAAAAGATATTTTTCTGTTACACAGAGATTTTGATACTTTCTTCCAGGTGATATCATCATTAAAGCTGAAAATTACTAAAGATTCAAAATTTTATGTTTAACACCAGTAACTATTTCTACATATTGACTGTTGAGGATCTATTATAACCTATGATGAAACAGACAATATATATAGTACATATGTGAATACAGATAATGAAAATATTTACTACTGAAAAAATTGTAAGAAAAAGAAAGGGAGAAAAATACCACTGAAAAAGAACAAATTCAAGATAGGAGAGATTTTATTCAAAAATTAATGGTAATAGGATAAATCCTCCAAATACAAGTTCTGCAAATGTCCAAGAGTTACTCAGAGTTATCTGTTCTTCTATTTGGAGAGGGAAAATGCTAGAAAGTACTATGGGTCTGAGCAGAGGACAAGTTAAAAGCCCCTACAGTTTAGGGAACATGTCTACTGTCAACACTCTCTCAGGACATTGTTACCAATGAGATGTTGTCTTGCATTACAATGCACAAGGGTGATCCACAGTTCCAGATTAACAAGCATTGTTCCCCATTGATCATTAAGGACAAACAACACCAGGATTCAGTGTATCCAGTGTAGTACTCACAAACTCAACTCAGTTGTCCAAGAAATACTCTTTATTTCACTTTAAGAAAATTAGGGAAATAATCTCGATATGGTGTCACAAATCTCTAATGCAAGCTCTCTGTAGTCTGAGGCAGGAGGATCATGAGTTTAAGGCCAGCATGAACTACACAGCCAGACCCTGATTGAAACAGAAAGAAAAAGAGAAAGAAAGAAAGAACCAACAAGCTGGGGATATAATAGCTTAGTGATAGAGCACTCCTGGGTAAGATTCCCAAAAGTATAAAACATAAAATAAAATTTAGGAAAAATATAACTGAAAACAAAAACAATCTTCTCTGAGTCCAGAAATTCTCTCCACCATGGAAATAGAGAAGGAAAGCACTTTTTAAAAATAAAATGAAAATGTTAGATCAGAATATGATGTGCAATAGAAATAATCTGCTAAGAGATTGAAAACAGAGGGAAAATACTCTCTTTCTTCCCTTGGCTAAGAATTGAACCCTATGCCTTTGGACTAAGTGAACTCCCAGCCCTTTTTATTTTTATTTTATTTTATTTTATCTTTATTTCTCTAGCTTTTTGTTTTGTATTTGATTCTGATACAAGGCCTTACTGATTTCCTCAGGCTGAATTAGAACCTGCCTCAGGCTCCCAGAATGCTGAAATTACATACACATGCCACTATTTTCAGTTCAAACTTTTTATGTAATTCATTCCATACTCATTCAGGGAAAAACTCAAATTTGCTATTCTTCTAGTTATAAAGATAAGTGAATATGTAGCAGTTTATGCTAAGCTACTTGGTAAGTTTGATGACCACCTTTGTGTACTTAAGTAGCTATCTAGAGGTAACAGATAAAAACCCAAAGACATCCTCAGGTTATTAAACTGACAAAAATTTCATTGTTTCTAAAAGTACATTTCACTCTGGTGTAGTGGTATACACCTACCTGTAGCCCCAGTTACTCCGGAGGCTGCAGCAGGAAGATCACAAGTTCGAAGCCAGACTGGGCAATTTAAAGGAGAATTTGTCTCAAAAAATAAAAAGGACAGACAAGTTTCTCACTGATACCACACAGGCGTACATGTTTCTATAAAGTTAAGTAGTCACCGAAATGGTAATGGTTACAGCAGTGCCTATCAATATCTAGGTAAACGGATTAAATTGCAAATCTGAAGACAGAGTGGCTCAATGATTAAAAAAACAACAGGACTGGGGATGTAATTCAATAGTAGGAGCTTGCCTACCCCTGGGTAAAGTTCAATCTCCAGTGCCACCAAATAACTAGAAAATAACTAGAAAATCAACAGTAACCAGGAAAAGCCCCAAAATAGGACACAGCATTTGAGCTGCTAAAGCAGCTTAAGACAACTTTTTGAAGCCCAGTTCCCAGCCATTACCTGTGACTCCACCCACTCCCCCGCCTACTGCCTATCACACCCCGCCCATTTTCTGCCTTTTTAGGCCTTCCCCTCGCCCCGCCCCTGATTTTTTGCGGCCCCTTTAGCCCCGCCCCATTGTTTTGCGCAATGGGCACAGACCTCTTCCCTCCACGCCCCGCCTCTCATCGGTTGCGCAATCATCCCCCGCCCACTCCCTTTTCAAGCGGCGCGGTGCAGGTGGGTATTTTTGGCTGCGCGTGCGCAGTTTCCTGCACACCCAAAAGTGGTTCCTGCGGAGTGAAGGCCGCAGCGCGGATAGTTTCTTTCTGACTGGTTTGGGTTTGCGCTTCGCGGTCTCCTACTGTTTCTACCTTCTCAGTCTGGGTCCCTTGGGATCTTTAGGTCCCCGCCACGCATCCTCCACCCGGGGCGCTGGAGGCCGGTCCTGCACTTCCCTCCCCGACCGCGGACCCCTTCCTCCGCTTCCGCCTTGCCCGCTGCCCTCTTCGCGGCCAACGCAGTCCACACCTCGAGGGGACACGACCTCTCCCGTGCCTACGCTCCTGGTGTCGCGTCGCCGCCCAGGCCTCCCCTGGAAGTCTCCCTGCCGGGCCAGGGGAGGTAACTTGGACCTGTCCTGTGGGCAGGGTTCAGGGTTAGGCTTCTTGAGTTCCTAGTTCTCCCCAGTGGGGGATGTGCTGGTCTCCTGGCAGGTCTCTTGGCTCTACATTGCTTGGTTCCCCACTGCGTCCAGTCCTCTCCCTTGCACTCCAGGAGCCTCTGTCCAGTTTTCTCCTGGACTTCTGTGCTGGGAAGTCTAACCAGCATCTCCATTTTCAAGTGTCCAAAAGTGATTTGATTTGATTTTCTGTGAGATCACGAAAAAATATTGTACAGTATTGCCAAGTTGCTCAGACTAGGCTGGAACTTGTGATCCTCTTGCTTCAGCCTCTCAAAGTGATGGGAGGTTGGGTGTGTGGTGCCCCACCCAGTTCCAAAAGTGGCTTTCTGAGTTTGCCTACACATATGCCCGCTATAGCCCTCCACATTGCAGCCAAGAGTGACACCCTCGGATTAAGGTGACCATTTCAGCGTGTCCTTAAAATACATTTTGTTATTTG